TAGAAGACATTCCAAGATGTTTATTGAACTCTGGGCCACTCTTGTGATTTATATTGTGATAGTATCACTTGTCTCGTCCATCTCTCTGAGGCATTCTGAATCTATTCTTATATCAAGCCTAGCTGTGTTTTTGTGTACGTTTATGTTCATCCACATGCTCTCCTCTGTGTGTTCAGCTTCCAGTCAAAACCTTTCTCTATATATCTATAAAGTTTTAGAATAGAGCTTTCCTTTCTTCCTTGCATTTAATACTTTCCTCTTAAACAAGTTATGCTCTTCCTATTGCTATAGTATACTCTTAAATCCTAGTCTATCCTGGCCATCCAGGATTGCCTCACTGCCTTGAAATATCCTAATGTCAGCAGGAACAAGGCCCGTGAAACTAAATGAAATGAGTTGTTGGTTCTTTTCTATTTCATAATTGTTTCTCATTACTCCATCAGGCATTCTAGGATATGCTGCAGGGAGCTGTATGTCCCCTTACTTCCCACTCCCCCAACAAACAACATTAACAAAACACGAACATCAGTATTAATACAACTTCAGGACCTCTGAGATACTATATATAGCAGTATTAAGGAATATGATTATTTAAAACAAGAAAATCTAGGTTTTTGTTTTTGTTTGAAGGGAGAAGTTAGAAAAATTTACAGGTGGATGCAACTTGGAAACTTTAATGAGCCATAATGATCTACTCTTACAAGTTCTTAAGTGTAATTTATTGATATTAACATGGTCCAATGTCACTGGTCTCACAGAAATTAGAGTTACCCTTTTAAAAAAACTTTCCAAAAGAATCATATTAATTTAGGTAGCATTTAATCTCTATCAAATAGCATACACACACACACATGCACACACAAATGCCTTATACTTTTTTATTCTTTTAAAACGTCAAATAATGAAATGTACTATACATATGAAAGAGTATACAAAAAAGTATATATAACATATATGTGTAGCAGATATGTTCTTTTTTTTTTTTTTAAAGATTTTATTTATTTATTTGACAGAGAGAGAGAGAGAGAGTGAGAGCAGGAACACAAGCAGGGGGAGTGGGAGAGGGAGAAGCAGGCTTCCCAGCGAGCAGGGAGCCCGATGTGGGGCTCCATCCCAGGACCCTGGGATCATGACCTGAGCTGAAGGCAGACGCTTAACGACTGAGCCACCCAGGCGCCCTACCAGATATGTTCTTAAAAGAAATATAATTAACAGGGATTACATTTCCTCATTTTCTTTTTTTTTAAAGATTATATTGATTTATTTGAGAGAGAGAGAGCAAACATGAGGGGGGAGGGAGGAGGGGCAGAGGGAGAGGGGAGGGGGCAGGAGAAGGGGGAGGGGCAGAGGGAGAAGGAGAAGCAGACTCCCCACTGAGCAGAGTAGGGAGCCTTACACAGGGCTCAATCCCAGGACCCCAAGATCATCACCTGAACCGAAGGTAGATGCTTAACCAATTAAGCCACCCAGGCACCCCCTCTTTTTATTCTTCTAAGGACTTGAATTATCTGTGCCACCTGTTCTCTTGCCCTCAGGATACAGGGATTCTTTTAAAGAATTTGATGTGACTGGGGAGAGGGAGAGATACCCTAAAATATTTAGGGAAGGCCAATATAGTTTATATACTTTAATGTTCTTCATAATTGAATATAGTATCCACTGAGAGAACTAAGAGAAAGTGACTATACCTTTAATAACAACTGAATAAAAATAGCAGCATATCTAAAGTCTTAATCATCTAGGAAGTTTGAGTTGAGAGGAAACTGGCAGGGATACCTATCCTAAAAAGATCTTTCTCATCACCTGTTACAGTGTCTGAAATCCCATTTTTGGAATTGCTCTGTTGAATCATGAAATCTTTTAGATATTAGGAATCTCCCATCGAACTAGTTACTCCTTGAGGGATCACATCTTATTTATTACTAGCACAGTTTCTGGCACATAATAAGTGTTCAAGAACATGTCTGCTGAATGAATATTAAATAACATCCATGCAGAGGACATTGGGAAGGATAGTTTTTGAAGCTCGTGTTCAACTAACAATTGTTTGATAGCTTGAAGAGAGTAATCAACCTATAGTATTCTTGACCAAGAAGTGGGACCATTTTAAGCTACATTACCAGGCTCTTGGTATCTTTATTTTTCCAATTCTGGTTGTATTTGATTATATTATTGGAAGTAGGAACTTGGGACTTGAGTTGAGAGATCAGCAAAAAGGAGAGAGACATTTTTCGGAGAAACTCTTCAAATTAAATTATTTAATTCTTTAATTAGAATTGTAACAGTTATCATCTATATAATATCATATAATACTTATGATATACCAAGCTATCTATGACTAAAAGTATACTGTTTTTGTAAATATATATACTTACATAAATATATAATAAATATTTCAAATATTATATATGTATATATAGGTTTGTTATAACTTTATTATGATATGGTGTTACCTATGATTCAGAGGTGTGAATCCCTAGAGTGAAATGTAATTCCCACTTATATATTATTTTTAGGAGAAAATTTCACTGTCTTGAAGTGATCTGCTTCATGATTCAATGACCATGAATTATATCTTGAAAAGGAGAAAGAGGTTTGTAATCAAGATGGAAACTTTGTGACTATCACCACCATCATCACTTCTACCATTTATTTACACAGTGGGTGCAATGGGGTTGATTACTCTCTACAGTCTATCAACTGTTAAGTTATGTATTGCATAATTCTGTGAAGTTCAGAGATTAAATGCTCTCAGCTAGTAAATAGTAGATTCAGGTGTTCAGAAGAATCAACTATTTAAAGCATTAAATTAGCTGCCCTATCCCCAAACTAACTATCCTTCTCAAGTACAAAATATCCTCTTAAGCTATGATTCCACTTTCTCTCCTTTGTATTTTTTTTTCTCTCTCTTCTAATGTCTTCTTTTCTTCCTTTCCATTTCACTCCCTTTTCCTGTGCTAACTTAATGTTCAAAATCCAAAAAGAGGGCAAGAAAGTGGGTGGAGGTTGTGTGAAATAGATGGAGAAAGAAAAGAGGGAAGAGCGAAGTTTGTGGCTGAATAATACCTTATTTACTTAAAAAAACAAAACAAAACACCCTGGGGTGCCTGGGTGGCTCAGTTGTTAAGCATTTGCCTTTGGCTCATCAGGCTCCCTGCTCAGTGGGAAGCCTGCTTCTCCCTCTCCCACTCCCCCTGCTTGTGTTCCCTCTCTCACTATGTCTCTCTCTGTCAAATAAATAAATAAAATCTTAAAAAAAAAATTTAACCCCCCCCCCCACACTCCAGTTCTTCCATATCATATATGCAGGTTTGTAATGTTTTTAGGTGAACATATATAAGTAAAAATGAAGTTATGATGCAAATACTGTGGAGGAGAGGAGTGCAATTTCTTAATCTGAAAAACAAAAAACAAAAATTGCATCAAAACACAAACCAAACAACTCTGTGCACATTCTCAACCATCATCTTTTTTTGCAATTAAAAAAAAAATACAAAAAAAGCTCTTATCCTCTCTTTACTCTGTGATGTGTGTGTGTGTGTGTGTGTGTGTGTGTGTGTGTGACTTGCCTGCAAAGGAAGACCAGAGACAGGGGGATGATGTTTAATGCAAAATAAAATCCATTTTGTAAACATGTTTTTTATTTTATAATAGCCTCCCTTTTGGTATTTACAGAAGATTTCTCCTTGTGTATTTTTTATACAGGCATAAGAGTACAAGACATAGGAGTACATCTAATGTGGATTACTGCTCATTTGCCTTTTCCAGGAGGCATCGTGTAGACCAATAGACACAGTGATAAGAAAGCTCCCTAAGGACAGTGAGGATTTCTTAGTGTTCTTTTATTAAAGGATGCAGAAAATCTTGTGTCTGGCTACAGATTGATATTTTCAAAAGCATACTCTTAAGACAATACAAAATATTTATGATAAGCATTAATTTTTTTCAATTATAAACACCATATATACTACATAAGACAATAAGAAACACACAAAAAAACTGAAGACAACAATTCGATTTAGTTCCAGTTTTAATAATTTGATGTATCCCTCCCCCCCCGTCGGTTTTTTTAACACACTTTTTGCCATATATATACACATATGAAAGTATATAATATGTAAAATACATAAAAAGTGAGATTAATAAGTTGGCTTCCCGAAATGCTCTACAAGAGAGAAGGGGAGCCATACTGGCCTTTGGGAGAAACCCATAGTACTAAATGACCTCTTTGTCCAGCCCAGTTCTGTGATGTTGCGGAAGGATTCCTTTGATGGGGACGCAAGCCTCCCTTGTGGTAACGACAGTTTTCTGATCACTTATTAAACATGTACACGTCTGGAGTTCAGTAGGTCTTCCTGAGGGACTTGGGACAGCTTCCTTCATTGATGTGGGTTGCAATGGCTTCTAAAACCTGGGAGTCAAAAGCAACGGGGCGGGGGGGGTGTGGTGGTGGGGGACGCCATTTGCAAAGCCGGAAATGATTAAAATCACAGGGTTGAGACCATTTCCAGTCAGTAAGGGCTTGCCAAGACCACAGTTCCTGCTTCTGGTGTCTACTCTGCATAGAGTAGAGGTTTGTCTACCATAACATTGGCAGTAAGATCTCTCCAGCTGCTGGAGAGCACAGGGCAAGAGGGAGTCACTGGCGTGGCAGGGATCGGGGAAGCGCGCTAATTTGAGAGGTCAGCGGCGAGTCCAGCTCAATGGCCTAGTCTCGCTAGGCTGAGGCGCGGACCCTGCCGGCCTCCGTCCTCTTCCGCTCGCCTCAGGTACAGCCCGGCGGATCCCTCCGCCGCAGCGTGCGCTCCCGGTAGCGCCGCGATCGGCTTTTCGGCAATACCCGGATGGAAGCGTAATGGCCGCCATCAGGGACTCGCAAGCAATGGGGACCACGACAGGTATTCCCTATGAGCGGGGCCACCCAGACTTGTTAGGATGCCGGGACTTCTAGATGGCCAGCCAGGGGGCAAAATGCGAGTTTGGGGGGGTGTCAGGATCCCCTGAACCGGCTCAGGGATCCGCCTCTTGTGATAGGAAGCGCCTGCTAAATAGTCCCGGCTATTCAGCGCTTCCGCCTAACTTGCCGCAAAGTTTTTCTAGAGAAGTCGGCTCTTGTACTCGGCGCTCCTGCAGGCTGCCAGCGCTAACCTCCCGCTTCTTAGCTGGGTTTGCACTACGTTCGGGCTTTTTGAACTCAACATTCTCCCACAGCCTAGGAGCTGGAGCGGGAGCGCGGCGACAGTGTGCCTCCGCGCGCCCGAGGGGAGCCGAACCCCGGAGGAAGGGGCGGATCGGGCGCGGTGTTTGGGACGGAGCGGGGCGCGCGGCGCTCGAAGCACCCGCTCGGCGCGTTCCGGGGCTGGTGGAGACAGCATGGGTACTGCTGCGACCGCACCCCTCGAGCTGTAGATTCGCAGGCCCACGGCAGTCCGACTCGACGGCGTCCCCATTGTGGGTCCAGTCTCTGGTCATTGGAGGTCTTTTCTTGCAGATACGCTCAGCTCTCTGGCGCGCGCTCCCTCCTCCACAGAGTTGGCCAAAGGCGCCCTTCTTAGAGACCCCAACCACACCCAGTGGCAGATGGATTTCTTTGTAACTGGCTTTCTCACTTGTAGGGTCCATTTTGAGTCTGTTCTTAACATGGTGTCCTCATTGTCAAGTAGACAGCCTCTTCCTAGATGGATATGGTAATGGAAAATATATAGGGTGAATGTATATAAGGTAAAATGTTGTAACTTTTAAGTAGACCAACGAAACAGATATGGTAGCTTTAAGGTTCAGAATAGAAAAGTTTAGGTTCAGTTTTCTTTCTAGGCTTAAATTTGGGGGCGTTTAGTATTTGTGAGCTATTTTAGCCAAAACATTCGTAGAGTGTGTTTGGATATCAAAAGTCTGTAAACACCAGAAAAATAAAATAAGTCAATATTTAAGGAATTCGTAAGAATGCTGAACTTTGTGTGGTTGTAGCAACTGTGAAACAAGACACCAAACTGTACATCAGGGTAGGAATTTCATTAACTTGAGTGACTTTGTGTTAGGCCTAGTTTACTGTTTTTGGGGTTTTTTTTTATGCAGCCAGGGATCTGATTTGAGTGTACCTTAAAGTTAGTATTCTCAGGTTGAACAGATAGAAACCATTTAAATTGAGGGAGTGAAATACCCTGACATCTCTCAGAGTTTTAACTGCAAATCCATAGAAATGGATTTATTATCTTTTAGCAAAACTATGTGTTTCTGGTATTCATAAAGACATTGCATTGTGTTAACATTTTTCAGGGCGTTAGCATTTCCTGAGGATGGTAAGCATAGTAGACCACGTTCATTTTTCTTAAAATTCTTATAAGTAAGATGAGCCTTAGGTTTGTTAGAAAATTGTTAACAAAAGGGGAGGGAGGGATATAATGCAGGTATCTGACTTGTTTTGCACATCCAAATTACTCATTGTTGCAGTGAAAATAAGGATAGCTATCAATTCAAAGCGTTATATCTGGTTTTATGGAAGGGTAAAAGGATAACAACCACAATGAATACCTACTATGTGCATTGATAATGTATGAGCTTTTAAATGGTTGAGTATTTTTTTTTTTATCATCACATTTTAAATCCTATCCTATTCTTTCTTACTAGTATATGTGGTCCCAAGTTTTTGTATCTTGAAGCATTCCAGAAGTTATGTTTTAGCATAAATACACAATTTGACTTTAGAATATGTTTTAAACATGTCCTTTAATGAACTTTTATTGCTTATTTTTCTGTCTGCAATTGTTCTTATGGAAGCATTGTTTGCTTTAGATCACTTAATACAACTTTTTTTTTTTTTTTGATGGTAAAAGACTTGAGTCTTGTTCAGTTTCATTCAGGGACTCTACTAAAAGTTTTGTGATAAAACACTATAAGCAGAAGAAAAGAATTGTGATGAAGTTGAAATTTTTATTAATTATCTGATTTCAGGTGTGTGTAGGCTATGAGTGTTTTAGTTCTGTATGGGGGTATTGGCTTCACACGGTGAGCAGTTTTCATGGGATGTTAGCACAAGTGAGTATAAAGAGGTAGTATTGTGGTGGTAGGATATCTGGCTTAGAATCAGATCTAGATTGTTCTGGGTTTGTGATTTTGGCAAGATTCATTTTCCTGATCTTGAAATAAACAAAGAAAGTGAATTAGATTGAGCTTAAGCTCCCTTCTAAGCTTTGAGTTTTGTGGTTTTTATAAATTTATGACATGTTATCATGGAGTAACAATGAAGGGTTATTCGCCAAAATTGCAGAGAGGTTTTTTTTTTTCCCTCTTAAAGTTAAACACATAAGTTGAATATGAAGCATAATTGAATCAAGAGTATAAAAACATTTTACTAACAGGTTTTGGTCAGTTTTAAAATCTTGGTCTTCATTTCCAGATATCGTCTCTTCTTTTGATCACTGTTCCTGATTGTGGCTTTGTCCAAGCATTAAATTGCGTGCCTTTTGTTCCTTGAAGAAGGAGGTATGGTAAAGATTGAAGTATTACAGCATGTAGTCTATTAAGCAGTAAGTTAATACGTTTTGATATTGGACAAAATAAAGTAACCTAGTTCTGTATACATCAGTTTTCATAAATTATAGTTTTATTTTGGGCCTAAATATTTATAGGTTTTCTTTTAATGTAAGCAAAAAATCATTTTGGTTTCATAGTTGATTATTTAATACTTCATTAGCTATCTAAAGATAATTTTAACTATATTCTTCTAAACATAAACACAGCATTAAGGGCTTCTGGGTAATGAACGATGGAGTTATATATGGTTGGAAGATGTTTTGAAGTTGTATAAATGACCAGAAGAGTGTTTCTGTTTTGCTCTAATAAGTGCAAAGTAATGCACCTAAAGAAAAACTGAAATATATTTATATCATGATTAATGGCATCAACATTATGAGTCAGAAAAGGTACTTGAGAATCACTGTGGAGTTATGACTAGTTTCCTGAAGACAATCTTCTGAATATCTTGGTGTGAACAAAATGAAGGAAAAAAAAATCTGCCATCAAATCCATGGTATTATAAGGGAAGCTTTGCAAACTCAGTGGAAAATATTGTACCCTTGTACAAAAACATGTTTTATCTACTCTTGAAACATGAGTGTCTCTTACTGTTTGTTTTGAATAGGTACTAGGATACCACAGTATCATTTAATTCCTCTCACCAAATACAATAAGTATACCCATAAATATAACCCTAAATTAGAAATAAGATTGTTTACATAACTACTAAAATGGCTGAAGTAGACTGTATGAACTTAAATTATTACTTCAGTAATCATAACCATGTTTTGCCATGAGTTTTACTAGTAGATGGCTTTGTTTTCAGGGCCATTTTTCACAAAGGCAAAAATGTTTTGTTTTATTAGAAGTTAATGTCTAACAACTACAGTGAGTAGGGAGCAACAAAGCTTAGATACTTGGTAATTACTTATGTTCATTTATATGTCTTATTGTTTCCTACATAGCATTTGTTTGCCCTCTTACTGAATTAGGTTCACAGGGGTACTGTGTTATTCCTGAATAAAGTAAATGCTGAGTGCTAAGAATTTTCTTTACTGTGTTTGATCCAAAATTCTCAGAAAAAGTAATATGATGAAGAATGAAAACTTCAAATGTAATGAAGTGAACAAGAGGCTGCTATATGATGACTGACCAAAATGATTTGGATTATTCCATCTTGAAAAATTGTGAGCAAAGTCTGACTAAATTTTAAAATCATGATTGGTATGACTGCATGAAAGAGATATCAGAATATCAGAATGAAGTTGCATGACTTGAAGCTTATGATAAGTAGGTCTCACATGGGTCTCATTTCAAGAAATGGTAATAGCTGAAAAATATTGGCTTCATGGAGGGTCAAATAATTTCACAATGTGGTAAAATCATCACTAATTCCTAATTGAAATTGGGTTGTTAAAGGTTATAGCTGGTAGAAAAAAAAATGTGTTTGTTGACCTTGAACAATGCAGGGGTTAGGGAAACTGACCCACCACACAATTGAAAATCTGCATGTATTCTTTTGATTCCCCTAAAATTTAACTACTATAAGCCTTCTGTTGACTGGAAGCCTTACTGATAGCATGAATAGTTGATTAACATATATTCTGTTATATGTATTAGATACTATATTCTTAATAACAGATGATAATAAAGTAGGCAAGAGAAGAGAAAATGTTATTAAAATCATAAGGAAGAGAAAAATACATTTACAGTACTGTACTGTGTCAAAAAAAAATCCAGGTATAAGTGGACCTCCATGGTTCAAAGCTGTTTTGTTCAAGGGTCAGCTGTATATTAATTTGTCAACTCAGTATCTCTTTGTTTGGGGAGCCATCTCTCCCCTATTATGAGTGGTTAGTGGCCAATCATATAGTCTTATAACCCAAGCCTAGTCGTCCTTATTGCAACAGAGATTGCCTGTTAATCAAGCAGAATCTTGTTAATCAAGAACCCTTCTTTGAAATTGATGTATGAATGCTGGAGAAAGATGCTCCCTTTTCTCTAAAGTGATTAATCTGGTAGGGTGTTAGTGACATTCTTTCCCACAAGTATGAGAACCCCATCTGTAGTAGGAGAAAGTGAGGCCATATGGAAATGGGAGATGGGTGGAGAGAGCATGCCAGTTTCAGTTCTAGGGACCATGGTAAGAGGTATCTACGCTTTTCTTTTGATCCTGTCAGTTACCCTGGTGTCCTTCCCAGTCCCATGTCCCAAAATTTTGTATATAAATTAGTTTGAATTGGATTGCAGCAGAAAATGATCTGAGGGGGGCGCCTGGGTGGCTCAGTTGTTAAGCATCTGCCTTCTGCTCAAGTCATGATCCCAGGGTCCTGGGATCGAGCCTCACATTGGGCTCACTACTCAGCGGGAAGCCTGCTTCTCCCTCTCCCACTCCCCCTGCTTGTGTTCCCTCTCTCACTGTGTCTCTCTCTGTCAAATAAATAAAATCTTTAAAAAAAAAAATGATCTGATGGATATTTGGCCTTTATGAATTTAAGATCTATAGCTTCAAGTTGATCACATCCATCTACAATTTGCCCTTCCATCTTATGAAAGATGCTCATTGTTCATCATTCATGTATACATTCAGTCCTTCATTCAACCTACAATCATTTGTTGAGTGTCTACTATGTACAAGTATGTACAACTCTCTGGATAGTCAAGGATTATACCTACTAGCTGAGTGCATGATGGACTTCCTTTAATGTAGCACGTTTTTATATATTTAGGTTATACTGATCAATAAGAATGTGTTGAGAATAATCAGTGCTGTGCTCAGCATTTTAGTGATATGAAAGAATAAAAGGAATTCTTTGCCTTCAAAGTTCTTATAGTTTAGTTAAGGAACCCAGATTAACATATATGAAACAGTACAAACAGCAGATAAATGAATGTGTGATTGTATGGTATAGATTTTAAGTCTGAGTTCTGATAGAAAGGAAATTAGTGAGGGCTGGCAGGTTTCTTGAAGGAGGTATCACTGCAAATGTGTTTTAACTTAGGAGTTGAGTTTTGTTAGGCAGAGAATAATTGAGGAAAGGATGGAGTTGAAAATGGCTAAGGGCTGATCCAAGATGGGGAGGAGGTTGGTTTGACTGTAACAATGTGTATTTTGGGGGAATGAGAGATAGTGAGATGAGAGGTAGTGAGATACGAGGTTGAATATTTTAGGTAAACCCATGTATGAGGCATTTGGAAAGCCAAACACATTTTATTTTCTGCTAAGGTGGGGATTTCTTTGAATAAAATGTTTGTATTTCTTTTAGTGTGATGCCATTTGGTGATGCTAAGATACAAAATAAGTGTAATCAAGTGATGGAAATTTATTTGTGGAAAAGACCTTGTTATATTCCTCTGCTTTGAAAATTTTTAAAAAACAGTCATTAATCTGCAATGCTGTTGTGTTTTATACATGTTATATAGGTATATATAAAATTAGTTTCTTTCTTTTTATTTCCCCCTTTTTTGAGAGATCTCATAGTAATACTGTCAAAACCATACCCTTCCTCTAGAGATACAGCCAGCTCAAAACTAATGTTGCAATAGATATAAAAACATTCTGAGAGAGATAAGGAATGAAATTAATGTTTAATTACTCATATAGTATTTGTTTTGAGCTCCAGATACTAGGAATGATGTATAGGTTAATTCTTTCATTAAATGCTGTTGTTTACTTAACCTTCTTTCTTCAATAACCAGTTAGCTGATCCTCAACTCAAGAGAGTATATAGGAACATTCCTATATTCCAGGGTTGGCAAACTCTTGCTGTAAATGGCCAGATAGTAAATATTTTAGGCTTTGTGGGCAATATGGTTTCTTTGCACCCCCATCAGCTGCTGTTGCAACATGATAGCAGCCATAGACAATATGGAAATCAATGAATGTGGCCATGTTCTAATGAAACTTAATTTATAAAAAAAAAGGCAGCAGGCAACATTTGCCCCACAGGCTGTTGGCTGTGGACCACGTATCATAGACTTAATGAGGCATTTCATTCCACAGTTTCTCATACTCATATCTTCCTATTATCCTCTTCTCTGGTAACTAAAAGATGAGTTATCTTTACTATTTTCTAAGTTCACCTCTTCCACTTGTTCACTAGATTCCACCTCTTCTCACCCAGTGAAGGACATTGCTACTGCATCTCTGTTTTTTTTCTCCCTCATCATCAGTTTTTCCATTTTTGTTGGATGATTTTCATAAGCATGCAATCATACTGTAATTTCTCCCAGTTTTAAAAAACAAAACAAAATAACTCTACTTCAGTTCTTCTTTTGTTTGGTCTTTTATACTAAAACTCCTTAAAAGAGTTGTCTGTACTCCATCTCCACTTCTCTTCTTCCCATTTCCTCTTAAATCCATGCTAGTCAGCCCTTTTATGGGGCTAATCAAAGTCACCACAGTCTTGACATTTAGTCCAGTGGTCATTTCTCAGTCCTAGTCTTGCTTGACAGATTGATCAATCCCTGATCCTGGAAACTCTTTCTTTACTTTGCTTTCAGGACACCACTCTCCTAACTTACCTCACTGGTCATTCCTTTCATGCTTACTAGCTGGCTTTTCCTCCTCTTTTTTACTCTAAATGTTGTAGTATCTCGAGGCTTAGGCCTTGGACTTCTCTTTCTTTGTGTACTTACTCCTTGGTGATTTCGTTCAGTTCTGTATACATAGATATATATACACACACCAATGACTCCCAGAATTTTACCCCTAGATCTCTGTATTCTGTATTCAGCTACACATCCGCATTTCCACTTGGCTATCAACTAGATATCTCAAATTCTGTATGGCTAAAACTGAACTCTTGGTATACTTTCTATACTTAACTGTAATCTTTCTATATTAATAAATAGCAACTCATTTCTTCCAGTTGCTGAGGTTAGGACTTTCAGAGTTAATCCTTGACATACTCTTTCTCTTCACAGACCAAACGTAGTCTGTCAGCATATCCTTTGGCTCTCTTGTCACCACATGTCCACGGTCTAACCATGCCTCATTGTCTCCACCAATGTCTCCCTCCTGGCAGTTGTAGTATACTTACCTCCAAACTGGTCTTCTGGCTTTCACTCTTACCTCCTTCCCAGATATTCTATTCTTAACATTGCCCCCAGAGTGATCTCTAAAAAATCATTCAGCTTATGTTATTTCTCTACCCCAAATGCCCTGTAGCTTCCCATCTCATTTATAGTAAAACCAAAGTCCTTTTGGTGTCCCTCAGGCCTTGTTTAGTTCCATTACTTCTTTGACTTCATCTCCTACTGCTTTCCCTCTGGTGTTTTCTGTTTCAGTCATACTGACATTCTTCTTTCTAGTCTCTGAACATGTTAGGCACACTCTACACTAGGTGTTAGCACTTACTCTTTCTTTTCTTGGAACGCTTTCTGCCTCCACTTCTTGGGATCTTGGCTCAAATAAGACTTTTTCAAATGAGGGCTACCTGACTTCACGTTTAAAATTGCAACTCTCTAGTTCTGCCTGTTTTTCTCTGCAGCACTTGTGATGTTTGAATATATTAAATAATTTACTTACTTTCTTTATCATCTAAATAACTAGCAGAGTGTTATGTCCATGAGGGAGGGATTTTTGTCTGTTTTATTCACTGCTGTATTCTCAGTGTTTAGAACAAAGACTGGCACAGATTTGGTGCTAGCTACATGCCCAGAACTATGCCAGATGCTGGTGATATAGCAAAAAACATGACAGATGTGTTCTTATGCTTATGCACCTTTTATTACAGTGGTAGAGACAGAAAATAAATTGGCAAATATATAAAATATTGCTGAAGTGTTACAAAAAAGAAATATAAGGGGTTTAGATAGAGAATAATTTTTTGTTTGAGAAGTGATGCTTTATAGGTTGGGGAAGGCCTTTCTGAGATGATGATATTTTTTTTTTAAGATTTTATTTATTTGACAGACACAGTGAGAGAGGGAGAAGCAGGCTTCCCGCTGAGCAGGGAGCCGGATGCGGGCTCGAACCCAGGACCCTGGGATCATGACCTGAGCGGAAGGCACATGCTTAACGACTGAGCCACCCAGGCACCCCTGAGGTGATGATATTTGAGCTGAGACCTAAAAGATGAGAAAGATCTAGCCATTTGAAGAATAGGAGAAGGAATAATTCAAGCAGGGAACAGCAGGTGCAAAGGCCTGAGATAGGAAAGGAGTATTTGAGGAACTGAGAGAC